GCATTCGCCTTAACAGCTGACAGCAGTTTCACGGATATTGGGCGGGTAAGTTTTCAAAATGTGGCTCTCGCCTTAGCGCCGCGCGGATTCGTTGTATAAGTTTGTAGCAATTTCGCCGATGGAGGGCGGGTCGTTTTCAAAACGGGACTCTCGCCTTAGCTCCGCGCACATTCGTTTTAACAGTTTGCAGTCTTTTCACTGGTGGATGGCAGCTTCTTTTCATAATGTGGCTCTCGCCTTAGCTCGGCGTCAACCCGACATACTTATACTATATGTGCGTCGCCCCCCCAGGGGCGACGCGCGCACCAAGAAGTCGTATAGTATATGCGTTGTGGCGGACGCTTTCTGGCCACACCGCTCGGGAAACGATATACTACAAGATGAGTATACTATATGCTCGGGTCGGACGCGCGCCTCCGAGGAGGACATATCGTATTAGTATATATCTGTGCTTCCCATTAGCGCCGCGCACATTTGCCCTCAATTTTTGAATTGCAGGATTCATCTTTTTGAAGTCCCACGAACGGTGTTCTGGCACGATTTAGGCTTGTCAGGATGCAACAATCACGTTGATTCGCAGTGTTGAAGTCCCAGGAATTGTGTTCTGGGACGGTTTAGGATCGTCAGGATGTAAGAGTCATGTTGATTTGCGGCGCTGAAGTCCCTGGACGGGTGTTTTGGCACGATTGAGGATTCTCAAACGGTTGTCTTGCGGGCACTTCTCGCAATGAATGTAAATCCTTCTAGGGACCTATGAAGAGGGAAATTGTAGGGATGGTCGACTGCAACATCGTTGATGCGTCTTGGGTTTGCTCTAGTCCTCCTCCTCCCCGCCTCCTCTTCCTCCTCCTTCTCCTCCTCCTCCTTCTCTCTTCCTCCTCCGCCATCCTCGTCCTTTTCGCCCTCCCCTCCCCCCGCCGTTGTCCCCCCTGGCCCTCCTCTTCCTCCTCTTCCTCCTCCTCCTCCTCCTCCTCCTCCTCCACCTCCCCCTCCCCGATACCATTCGTCGCGACATGCTCGCGACAGCTGGTCCCATCCGGGCTCCTGGGGGCGCCCTGCACCACTGCCGCCGCGGGTCCTCGTGGGGGGGGGGGGGCACCGGAGAGGGCCCGGCGGACGGGAAGGCCCGCCCCCAGTCCGACGAACGAGCGCAGCGACGACGGACGACGGCGACGGCGGTGGCGGCAGCCACGCGAGCCAGCAGATTTGCCGCCTCGGTGGGAGGGGCGGAGGAGCGAGGTGGAACTACATGAGTGCGCTCGGCTCCCGCTCGCGGGGGGGAGGGGGGGGCGGGGCGGGGGGTTGGCGCCCGGGCGGGGGAAGCTCGGCGCGCGGGAGGTGCGCCGCTACGCCGCGGCACGGGGGCCGGGCAGCCGCCCCTCCAGGGGAGGGGGGCCGAAGGGGTGGGCCGCGAGGGGGGGCGACGAGAGGGTGGCCGCTCGGGTGGGCCCCTCATCGGCACGGCCGGATCGGCCTCGGGATCCTGGTCGGAGCGCCCCCCCCGGGAGAGGTCGGGGGAGCGGCGGTAGTCGTCGGTGTTTGGCTGTTTCCGCTGCAGCGCTGGCGTCGTTTTCGCGTTTTCGGTCGTTCAGCGTGTGGCTGCCGCTGCAGCGCAGGCCTCGGCTGCAAATGGTCAGTCCTCGAGCACGGTTATCCGGCCGCAGCGTCCATGCAGCCATGATATGCAGTTATATGTTATGCAACGCCGTGCTATTCTGCGATGCCATGCCTTGTCCTGCAAGGCTGCGATGTGCAATGCTGGGCTACGCAGTGCCATAACATGCTATAATGTCACGTGTCATGCCATGGCATGCCATGCAGGGCTATGTTATGTACCGCTCTGCGATGTCTTGTCTTGCGCTGCAATGCTATGATGTGAAATGCTTGAACTACGCAATACCACACCATGCTATGCCATGCCGCACCCTGCCGTGCTCTTCTACGCTATGCTATGCCGTGGTATGTCATTATATGCATCGCGTACCCTTTGGGTACCGTTGTCATCTTCGACATACGACTGTGCGAATAGATAGGGGATCTAGGCAATTGCAGGGGATGGGAGGGAGGGGTAAGACGCCAGATATGACGCGAGCGCACCTTGCTTGCCCCCCCCCTCTCTCTCACTCTCCTCTCTCCTCTCCTGGCAGACTTTCGGCCAGCAGGCGCTGGTCTCTTGAGGAGCTGGGCGTGGAGCTCAAACAATTCCCCTCTCCTCTAATCTTTCTCCTTTTCCTCTCCTCTCCTCTCCTCTCCTCTCCTCTCCTCTCCTCTCCTCTCCTCTCCTCTTCTCTCTCCTTGCCCCTCTTTCCTCTCTCCTCTCTCCTCTCCTCTTTCCCCTCTCCTCTCTCCCCTCTCCTCTCTCCTCTCTCCTCTCTACTTGCTCCTCTCTCGTCTCTCCTCTCTCCTCTCTCCTTTCTCCTCTCTCCTTTCTCCTCTACCCTTTCACCTCTCTTCTCCTTTCCTGTCCCCTCCCCTCTTCTCCTCTCCTCTCCTCTCCTCTCCTCTCGCCTCGCCTCTCCTCTCCTCTCCTCTCGCCTCGCCTCGCCTCGCCTCCCCTCCCCTCCCCTCCCCTCCCCTCCCCTCCCCTCCTCTCCTCTCCTCTCTTCTCCTCTCCTCTCCTCCCCGCCCTGGCTTGGGATGGGCAGCCTGCCTGAGTGTCCAGCTCGCCTCCTGCCCGCCAGCTCGGACCTGCTCCGCCCCGACTCTCGCAGCCGCCCGCCCGCTGGGAGTCCGCCCGCTCGCCCCAGGCTTGCAGCCGGCTTGAGGTCTCAGGTGGCCCAGCATTGGTTCTTGCCAGCAAAACGGGGGAGGAGGTTCGAGGTTCTGGGTTCGAGAAGGTTTTGTGCCTCTCTGGGCATCTGGGGGCCGTCTTCGGGCCCCGGGACCTTCAGAAACGGACCGGAGCGAAATCTTGTTCCAGATGGACCCGAGGAGGGGTCCAGGGACCCAATTTTGAGCGGACCTGGCTTCGTCCCCCCCTCGTGATTGATTTTTCCTGGGGCCCCACCCAGTTCAGAACTCCTGGCCGCCTCCCACGCCAGGCAGACCTGGCCCCCCGCGAGCTAAGTCGCATGCGAGCCGAGCCTCGGCGCCGCAAGCCCCGGCGAAAGGAGGCGCGGGGAGTCGGGATCTGGCGACTCGAGCCCTGGCGGAACGAGCCCCAGCGAAGCGAGGTCTCGGCGTATCGAGTTCTCGCCCCTGGCGAAGGCCTCGAGGGTGCCAGGGGCCAGCGACTCGAAGAGGTCGAGTCGTCGGAGGCCGGTGTTTGCAGCTCGTTCGGGCCCCGTGACGACTCGGTCTCCGCAGACGTTCCTGGCAGCTTAACAGTAAGCTTGCTGCTATGCAGATTCTCCGTCTCGGGTCGTGCCTGGGCGCCGTTCTGCATGAAGCGGTTCCCAACCAGTGCTGCGATTTCATCCTCGCTCCTGCTGTCTTGACTGGGCTGCTCACGACACTCGGCACAATTCTGGGGGCAGGGCGCAGGAGCTGCTCAGAGCGCAAGGTCCACATGTGAGTCATGTCGGAGCATTGCTCATGAGAGCATCACCCGCAAGCCAGGTCACGACCGGCACCGCAACAACATCTTCTCAGTCATCGAGCGCAACGTCTCAGACCGTAAGGTGGGGCCTCAAGCCAGAGTGTTGGCACTGAGATGAAAACTCGCCAACACTCGTACGTTCCCTCGTGGCTGCTTCCTCTGGGTGGGGGGCGGATGCGGTGGGATGATCATGAGTTGGCACACGGTAGTTCAGAGGAATGAAGCACTAATGGGGAGCTTGGTATGCGGTAGCAGTGAGGCAATGAGGTAGGTCAGATAGTCGTTGTGAGTAAGAGACATTGAGACAGCTTTGAGGGTGGCTACGACATAAGTGCGTACCGTATTATTGTAATTTGACGGTTCCCAAGCGTCGCTCATGCACCCCACTTTTTTACCGCATTCAGTTTTTGCGCATGCGCCACTGCCATCTTTTTGCCATGTGTTAGCTGTAGCTGAGCATGTAGTCTTAGCCTTGTACAGACACCTTTATTTGAGCTGTAGCCGAGGCACTCGCTTCGCTTCCAGGATTACTGAAGGTATCGTTTTGCGTCTGCCTATCTGAAGCTTGAGCGTTATCTCATTTACGATGGTGTCAGGTAGACTTCAATATTTCGCTCTCTTTTTCACTCTGTATTTTTACGGCTTGAAGGTGCTCAAGATTTGTGTATCAACCTTCGTTCAACTTACCGCTTTAGTTCAAACATTTAGCATCGACGTCAGTCCGGCGTTTTTGCGTTTGTTTGTATCCTTATCGAAGACGCATACGGCGAATCACCGCCGCCCCCTGCTTTTTGGAATCGCCCGTGTGGCCGAGCGTTGTGGCAAGAGCTCTGCCAAGCAATCGGACCATGTGTTCCCCTAGCCGTTGTGGAATCCCTTCGGGGAGCATTTGGGGGAGGATGGCGGGGGCATCTTGGGAGCCTCTGGGGGCACTCTTGGGGCCTCCTGGGAGCCTCCTTGGGCCTCTTGGGGGCCCGTGGGGCGTCTCGGGGTCTCTTTGGCCGTATCAGCGCATTCGTGGCCCGTCAGACGCCGTCGGAAGCCGTCTTGGCGGCCTCTCTGGGCCGACTTGGGCCCTCTTGGGGTGCTCCAGGGCCGTCTTAGATGCCATCTGGGGCGTCTTGGAGGCCTCCTCGGGCGTCATGGGGCCCTCTTGGGGCCGTCTTGGGGCCCTCTTGGGCTGTTCTGAGGCCATCTTGGAGGCCTCGTGGGCGATCTTGGGGCGATCTTTGGGGGCTCTTGAGCCGTCTCGGGTCGTTGGAAGGCCGAAAAGAAGCATCTGCCAAAATCCTTCAAAAACCATAGGCAAATCAATTATTATGGTCTCTTCGGGCCCTCTTGGGGGCCTCTTCGGCCGTCTTGGAGACCTCTAGGGGGCCTCTTGGGTCGTCTTGGAGACCTCTTAGGGGCCTTTTTGGGCCATCTTGGAGCCACCTTTGGCCGTCTTGGTGGGCTCCTGGCCCGTCTGACGCCGTCGGAAGCCGTCTTGGCGGCCTCTCTGGGCCAGCTTAGGGCCCTCTTGGGGTGCTCCAGGGCCGTCTTGGAGGCCATCTTGAGCGTCAAGGAGGCCTCTCGGGCCGTCATGGTGCCCTCTTGGGGCCGTCTTGGGGGCCTCTTGGGGCGTGCTGGGGGCGCCGCGGGAGCCTCCGGGGGCGGGGGGCTCTTGGGGCCATTTTGGGGCGGAAGGCTCAAATGTCCATTCGTTTCCCCCCCCTCTTGGGCTCCTCTTCGGGCCCACCTGCACCCAGGGCCGTCTTGGAGGCCTCTTCGGCCGTCTTGAGGCCCTCTTGGGGCGTTTTGCGGCTCTCCTGGGGGCCTCCTGGGCAGTCCCGGGGCGCCGTTGGGGGCTTCTTAGGCCGTCTTGGAGCGTAAGCAATTGAAAAACGCGAGCAGGCTAAACTCTTTCAACACCGAATGAAAATCATGGATTTCGGCGTCTTCGGGCCCTCTGTGAAGTCCTCTTGGGTTTTTTTTTGAGCTTCCTAGGGGCCCCTTTGGCCGTCTCCAGGCCGTCTTGAGGATCTGGGGCCGATCTTGCGGCGACTCGAGGCCCTCTTGAGCCGTCTTCGCGGCCTCCTCGGGGCCCATCTTGGGACCCTCCTGGCTTCTTGAAGACGCACGCGGCACACCCCAGGAGCTCCCAGAAATTCCCGGGATCCCCGGGAAACCTGGTGATTTGGCCCTTATGAAACTAGAATCCAGGCTGCAGCAGCAGCAAGGCTGTGAGCCTTGGTACACTACACTTCGTGCCAAGGGCACGGTGGCGGATACAACATGCTTGATGTGCTTTTTTGCTTCGTCTGCTTGTTGCGTTCGATGCCGCTTTGTGTCTAGCCTGCGTACGCTTCACCATATTGTTTCTCACTCATTCATCAGCTCCACCCGTAGCTTTGGGATCAGCTTCAACTTTAGATGCCGGTGTCGCTGTTGGTGTAAATTACAGTTGTTGCGTTAACATACAGGCTGAAATGCTACACGCTTGCGTGCTTCATGCGTCCTCCTCCTCCAGCCCCTCCCAGCAGCACCATGTCCACGGTGACGCCGTGCGTGGACTATGTGCCTCATGCCGACGGGTACGACAGCTACGTGTGGTACAACAGCCAAGGTGCCACGTGGGGGGCTCCCTCCCTCGTGCACGCCGCGTGAGTAGTAGGAGGAAGACGAGGAGGAGGAGGAGGAGGAGGAGGAGGAGGAGGAGGAAAAGGAGGAGGAGGAGGAGGCGGGAGAGAGGAGGAGGAGGAGGAGGAGGGAGGAGGGAGGAGTGGAGGAGGAGGAGGGAGGAGGAGGGAGGAGGAGGAGGGAGGAGGAGGGAGGAGGGAGGAGGAGGAGGGAGGAGGGAGGAGGGAGAGGAGGGAGGAGGGAGGAGGGAGGAGGGAGGAGGGAGGAGGGAGGAGGGAGGGGGGAGGAGGGAGGAGGAGGAGGAGAGGGAGGAGGGAGGAGGGAGGAGGGAGGAGGGAGGAGGAGGAGGGAGGAGGAGGAGGAGGAGGAGGAGGAGAGGGAGAGGGAGAGGGAGGAGGGAGGAGGGAGGAGGGAGGTGAGGAGGGAGGGAGGGAGGGAGGAGGAGGGAGGGAGGGGGGAGGGAGGAGGAGAGGAGGAGGAGGAGAGGAGGAGGAGAGGAGGAGGAGTGGAGAGGAGGAGAGGAGGAGGGAGGAGAGGAGAGAGAGGCGGAAGGAGCGGAGGAGGCGGAGGCGGAGGCGGAGGCGGAGGCGGAGGCGGAGGAGGAGGAGGAGGAGGAGGAGGAGGAGGAGGAAGACTAAGAAAACTAAGAATACTAATAATACTAAGAAGACGAATGCGAATACTACTAATTAAGAACAATAAGAATACTACGAATAAGCATCATAATACGAATACTAATAAGAAGAATGCTATTACGAATTATAATAATAATAAGAAGAAGACAACGACGCAGAAGACTACTACGAATAATAATACGACACTTACGAATAATACTACGAATAATAATACTAACACCACGCATGCTACGAATAATAATACGAAGACTACGAAGACGACGAATACGAAGACTACGAATATTAATACGAATAACAATACTACTACTAATACTGAGCAGAAGAATCAGACCACTACGAATAATACGAAGAAGGAGACTACTAATAATAAGACGACGACTACGAATACGAATAATACTACGACTAAGCATACGAATACGGTTAAACATACTAAGAATAATACGAAGAAGACGAATACTAATACTAATAATACTAATAATAATGATAATACGAGTAGTAGTACTGATACTAATACTAACAACTAAATCAATCATAGTAATAATAATGATAACAACAAAAATAATACGAATAATACTGCTAAGACGACGAACCATAATAATAATACTAAGAATACGAAGACGAGTACTAAGACGAATAATACGACTAATAAGAATAATACTAGGACGACGAATAATAAGAATACGAAGAAAACTACTAAGAATCAGATTAATAAGAATACTGTTAATACTACTACGAAGACTAATCATGATACTAATAAGAATAAGAAGGAGACGAACACTAATAATAATAGTACTAATACTAATAATAAGAATAATAATAATAAGAAGAAGAATCATAATAAGACGAGTAATAATTTGAGGGAGTTTCTGTGGAACTCACGTCATCCTCACCCCCGGCGCGAAGAGCACGAGTCCAGAGCGGCCTCCGGCACCGTTTCCGGACGGATCCGGACGGATCCGCTGGATCCGGGGACGAATCCCAAACCGGCGCCCTCGCCTGAGACATCCGCAAAACCGGCCCCGGGGGAGGTGCCCAGAGGAGCCCAGAGCGGCCTCCGGCACCGTTTCCGGACGGATCCGGACGGATCCGCTGGATCCGGGGACGAATCCCAAACCGGCGCCCTCGCCTGAGACATCCCCGCAAAACCGGCCCCGGGGGAGGTGCCCAGAGAAGCCCAGAGCGGCCTCCGGCACCGTTTCCGGACGGATCCGGACGGATCCGCTGGATCCGGGGACGAATCCCAAACCGGCGCCCTCGCCTGAGACATCCCCGCAAAACCGGCCCCGGGGGAGGTGCCCAGAGGAGCCCAGAGCGGCCTCCGGCACCGTTTCCGGACGGATCCGGACGGATCCGCTGGATCCGGGGACGAATCCCAAACCGGCGCCCTCGCCTGAGACATCCCCGCAAAACCGGCCCCGGGGGAGGTGCCCAGAGGAGCCCAGAGCGGCCTCTGGCACCGTTTCCGGACGGATCCGGACGGATCCGCTGGATCCGGGGGACGAATCCCAAACCGGCGCCCTCGCCTGAGACATCCCCGCAAAACCGGCCCCGGGGGAGGTGCCCAGAGAAGCCCAGAGCGGCCTCCGGCACCGTTTCCGGACGGATCCGGACGGATCCGCTGGATCCGGGGACGAATCCCAAACCGGCGCCCTCGCCTCAGACATCCCCGCAAAACCGGCCCCGGGGGAGGTGCCCAGAGGAGCCCAGAGCGGCTCCGGCACCGTTTCCGGACGGATCCGGACGGATCCGCTGGATCCGGGGACGAATCCCAAACCGGCGCCCTCGCCTGAGACATCCCCGCAAAACCGGCCCCGGGGGAGGTGCCCACAGGAGCCCAGAGCGGCCTCCGGCACCGTTTCCGGACGGATCCGGACGGATCCGCTGGATCCGGGGACGAATCCCAAACCGGCGCCCTCGCCTGAGACATCCCCGCAAATCCGGCCCCGGGGGAGGTGGCCAGAGGAGCCCAGAGCGGCTTCCGGCACCGTTTCCGGACGGATCCGGACGGATCCGCTGGATCCGGGGGCGAATCCCAAACCGGCGCCCTCGCCTGAGACATCCCCGCAAAACCGGCCCCGGGGGAGGTGCCCACAGGAGCCCAGAGCGGCCTCCGGCACCGTTTCCGGACGGATCCGGACGGATCCGCTGGATCCGGGGACGAATCCCAGGCCGGGGAGGGGGAGAACCACAAGGAGAAGGATGAGGAGGAGGAGGAGGGGAGAGCACGAGGACGAGGAGGACGAGCAGGACGAGGAGGCCGAGGACGAGCACGAGCAGGAGGAGGAAAAGGAGGGGGAGCAGGAGAAGGAGGACGAGCAGGAGGAGCACGAGGACGAGCACGAGGAGGAGGACGAGGAGGACGAGCAGGAGGAGGAGGACGACCAGGAGGAGGAGGAGGAGGACGAGGAGGGGGAGGACCACCAGGAGGAGGAGGAGGAGGGAAGGAGGAGGAGGACGAGGAGGGGAGGGCGGCCGGCTGCCCCGGCCGGCTGCCCCGGCCGGCTGTCCCGACCGGCCGCGCCTGCGCCCGGCCGCGGAGTGCGGTCAAGGGAAGGATTCTTGCATGAACTATTGTACTTGCAGATCTGAAGGGCTGATGGCCTCCCTGGACGGCTCCGTGCGCCCTTCTCGGGAGCCCCTCGGACGAATTATTCGGGCCTCCTGTTCGCCACGTCGGGCCTTCCTGGGGGACGGGTTTTCTTGGTGGGTTCTCCGTGGTCTTCTTGGTGGACAGACATGGGGCTCTCATATGTGCGCGCCGACTTAGGGCGACGCATGTGCCTGGTCCAGCACGCGCGGTACCCCCGGGGAGGGGTTGCGGTTTGGCCAGATTGTGAGGACGCTTCAGAGCGGAACGCCCCTCCACATCCTTCCTGATCCCTCACTCATTTCAACCCACGCTCCCTCAGGTGCACACTGCCGGCGCCAGCGCGAAGATAAGAGGCACCTGGGGGGCGCCCCGTTCCGCGAATCCCACTGCAGAGCGGGGATCTCGACCCCCCAATGGGATTCGTGGAGCGGGGGGGGCCTCGGGGGGCCCAAACTTTTTTTGGGGCGGGGGGGGCTGCCCCGTTCCCTCGGATGGGCACAGCCCCCCCCTCGCCGGCCTCCTCTCCTTGATCCCTCCTCCTAACGTAACGCGCCCGCTTTAAGTTAATGCATGCGGCCTTCGGTGCCGCGTTATGGCATCACGGCGCAGCAAAGACGGATCTGGGGAAGGGGTCGGGACTTTTTCGGGCCGTTGGGGCAGGAGGAGGAGGAGGAGCAGCAGCAGTAGCAGGGGGGTTCCGGAGGATTGGGAGGAGGAGGAGGAAGAGGAGGCGGAGGAGGAGGAGGAGGAGGAGGAGGAGGAGGAGGAGGAGGAGGAGCAGGAGCAGGAGGCGGAGGAGCAGGAGGAGGCGGATGAGGAGGAGGAGGAGGAGGACGGGGAGGAGGCGACGGGGGACGAGGAGGGAGATGAAGAGGAGGAGATAGAGGGGAAGACAGAGGAGGATGCGGAGGACGTGGTGGAGGACGAGGAGGAGGGGGAGGAGGAGGAGGAGGAGGAGAACGAGCAAGAGGAGGAGGAGGCGGCGGAGGGCCCTGATCTCCGAGGGTGCGAATCTTTCAACCCTGGTGCGTTTCCTCGGTTTCGGCCTTCGGTGCCGCGATCTGGCATCATGACACAGCAAAGACGGATCTGGGGACGGGGCTGGGACTCTTTGGGGCCGTGGGGGCCGAGGATGTGGTATGAGGAAGAGCAGGCGGAGGAGGACGAGGAGGCGGAGGAGGAGGAGGCGGAAGAGGAGGACCCGGGTGCGGGAGGAGGAGGAGGAGGAGGAGGTGGAGGACCAGGAGTGCGATGAGGAGGAGGAGGATGGACAGGAGTAGGAGGAGGAGGAGGAGGAGGAGGAGGAGGAGGAGGAGGAGGAGGAGGAGGAGGAGGAGGACAAGGAGGAGGATGCGGTAGGACGATGATGAGGACGAGGAGGAGGACGAGGAGGAGGAGGAGGAGATTTCTCGGGGCGCGCGATTTTCGCTGACTTCTCGCCGCTGGGTCGCCCCCTCGCGAGCCTCGCCCAGAAGCGCGCGCCCCTTCTTCTCTCGATCGTTTCCCTCTCGCCCAGAAGCGCGCGCCCCTTCTTCTATATATACAGAAACTCCCGATCAACCGCAGAGCGGCGGATGTTAATAATATTAATAATAAGAAAACTGATACTAATACGAAGAAGAAGAAGAGGATGAGGAGGAGCAGGAAGGAGGAGGCCATGCGGAGGAGGAGGATGAGGGAGGAGGAGGAGGAGGGCGGAGGAGGAGGAGGAGAGGAAGAAAGAGGCGGAGGAGGAGAGGAGGAGGAGAGGAGGAGGAGGAGGATGAGGAGGAGAGGAGGAGGAGGAGGAGGTAGGAGGGAGGAGGAGGGAGGAGGCGGAGGGAGGAGGGAGGAGGAGGAGGGAGGAGAGGAGGAGGAGGAGGAGGAGAGGAGGAGGAAGAGGAGGAGGAGGAAGAGGAGAGGAGGGAGGGGAGGAGGAGGAGGAGGAGGAACGATTAGGGAGTGGTCTGAGGAGCAGTAGCAGCTGAGTGTTCCTGCTCTCTCTCTCTCTCTCTCTTTTACCATGCACGCGGCGACCAGCGAGGTCCCTGACACTCACGGGCAACGGCGAACCAACGTCCTAGCCCACCAGATGTGAATCTTTGCAAGCGGAAACACTCCAATGTTAATACATCGCCGAGGGATCTGGGGGTGCTTGGTGATGATGGCGAGCGCGATTAGGCGGAGGAGGGAGGAGGGAGGAGGAAGGAGAGGGAGGAGGGAGGGAGGAGGTAGGAGGGAGGAGCGAGGAGGGGAGGAGTAGGAGGGAGGAGGAGGAGGGAGGAGGGGGGAGGGGGGAGGGGGAGGTAGGAGGGAGGAGGAGGAAGAGGGAGGACGGGGAGGGAGGAGGAGGAGGGGAGGGAGGAGGGAGGAGGGAGGAGGGGAGGAGGGAGGAGAGGAGGAGGGCAGGAGGGAGGAGGGAGGAGGGAGGAGGGAGGAGGAGGAGGGAGGGCGAGGAGGAGGAGGGAGGAGGGAGGAGGGAGGAGAGGAGGGAGAGGGAGGAGGGAGGAGGAGGAGGAGGAGGAGGAGGAAGGATGGAGAGGGAGGAGGGAGGAGGAGGAGGGAGGAGGAGGAGGAGGAGGAGGAGAAGGAGGGAGGAGGAGGAGGAGGAGGGAGGAGGGATGAGGGGGAGGGAGGAGGGGGAGGAGGAGGGATGAGGAGGAGGGAGGAGGGAGGAGGGAGGAGGGAGGCGGGAGGAGGGAGAGGGAGGAGGAAAGGGGGAGGAGGAGGGAAGAGGAAAAGGAGGACGGAGGCGGAGGAGGAGGAAGGGAGGAGGAGGAGGAGGAGGAGGAGGAGGAGTAGGAGGAGGAGGAGGAGGAGGACGAGTTGGAGGGGAGGAGGAGGAGGAGGAGGAGGAGAAGTGAGGCGGAGGAGGAGGAGGAGGAGGAGGAGTGAGGAGGAAGAGGAGGAGGAGGAGGAGGAGAGGAGGAGGAGCAGGGAGCGTGGAGGAGGAGGAGGAGGAGAGGAGGAGGAGGAGGAGGAGGAGGAGGAGGAGGAGGAGGAGGAGAGAGGAGGGATTATGCGAACGATGAAGGCGAAGATGTTGCCTGCGCTCGCTCGTAGGCGAGAACTTCAACTGCAACTTCTACGTTCTGTTCAACCTTTGTAGCACTCCGGATAACTTCGGCAACTTCGGAAGGACGCGCGGACGATTTTTTTCTCCCGCCTCGGTGCGACGATCGCCTCGATGCTCGATGCGATCACCGTGGGCCGGAGAAGCCTGGCCCCTGGCATGGGCCGTGGTGGTGCTCGGCTGTAACCAAGACGTTGGAATAAGGGGCAGTTCGGGTGCGGAAAGGGCTCGATGGCTCGATGTTTCTCAGGCCCCTCCGCGGTTGATCCTCTAGCGCTCCTGGTGCACCCAGGCGCCCTTGGGACCAAACATACACGCCAGTCGTTGAAAGTAGGTGTTTGCTGGAAAGGGCAGAGGCCCAGTTTTTTTTTTTTTTTTTTTTTTTTTTTTTTTTTTTTTTTTTTTTTTTTTTTTTTTTTTTTTTTTTTTTTTTTTTTTTTTTTTTGTAAACCAAGGGCCGGGTCTTTACTTGCGACGGGCTGGCGAATTTAATTATGACAAATAACATGTTCGCGTAGGGCCGGCATATTAACATTTGAGGATGTCCCGAGCGAAACGCTGGTCTTTGAAATTCCGATCGATAAAACACAGGGTGCGGGACACATTTGCGTCAGGGGCACGAGTCCGTGTGTTTTTTTTCGTTTGTTCCTGTAGATTGGCCCTCTCTACGGGCACGAATCTGTGTTTTTTTTTTTTAAAAATGTATTTTCGTATAAATTGGTCCTCTCCAGGAGGCCCCACGAGGGCCCAGGTCACCCAGGGGGGTATCTAACATGGTTGTCCCGAGCTGGAACCACGTGTTTTTACTTGTCCAGGTCACCCAGGGAGGTATCAGCCCTCCAGGGGGGCCCCGCCTGAGCGAGGAGGGTATCCCAAAACCGTACTATTCATAAGGGTTCGGACCCCTCCCAGCCCTCTAGGGAGGCCCCGGCCTCTTGGGCCGTCTTGGAGGCCTCTTGCGGGCCTTTTGGGCCGTCGTAGACCATCTTGAGGCCATCTTGGGCCGTCTTGGGTGCATCTTGGAGCCGTCTTAGCCGTCTTGGAGGCCATCTTGGCGGTCTTGGAGGCATCTTGGAGGCCATCCTGGGCCATCTTGGCCGTCTTGGAGGCCATCTTGGGCCAACTTGGACGGACCGACTTTCGGGAATCTCCCGGGACCCCGGCGGGACGGGCCGAAGCCCCAGGGGGAGTTCTTTTGGAAAAAGAATCAAAACCACAAGCCATATGGTCCGGCACGCCAGGCACCCCTGCGATGAATCGACAGGGGGCGGCGGATCAAAGACGCCTACGGCGAATCACCGCCGCCCCCTGCCTTCTTGGAAGCGCCTATGTGGCCGAACGTTGAGGCCAGACCTGCCAAGCTATCGGACCATGTGTTCCCCGAATCGGTTTGGAGCCTCCCTTTTTAAACACGTGGGCATCTTGAAGGTCATCTTGGCCGTCTAGAAACCATTTTGACCGTTTCGGGCCTTCTTGGAGGACGTCTTGGAGGGCTCTTGGGCCGTCTTGGAGGCCATCTTGAGCGTCTTGGAGACCTCTTGGGCCGTCTTGGGGGCCTCTTGGGGCCGTGTCTTGGTCCTCTTGGGCGATCTTTGGGGGCACTTGGGCCGTCTCGGGCCGTCGGAAGGCAGAAAAAAAGCAAATGCCACAATCCTTCAAAAACCCATGGTAAATCAATGATTTTGGCCTTTTCGGGCCTTCCTGGAGGCCCTCTTGGAGGCCTCTTGAGCCGTCTTGGGCCATCTTAGGGCCACGTTCGGCCGTCTTGGTGGGCTCCTGGTCCGCCCGACGCAGTCGGAAGCCGTTTGGGGGGCCTCTATGGGCCGACTTGGGGCCCTCTTGGAATGCTCTAGGGCCGTCTTGGAGGCCATCCTGGGCGTCTGAAAGGCCTCCTGTGCCGTCTTTGGGGCCTCTTGGGGTCGTCTTGGGGGCCTCTTGGGCCGTTCTGGGGCCATCTTGGAGGCCTCCTGGGCGATCTTCCGGCGATCTTCGGGGGCTCTTGGGCCCTCTCGGGCCGTCGGAGGGCCGAAAAGAAGCAAATGTCAACATCCGTCAAACACCTTAGGAGAATCAAGGTTTTGGGCCTCTTCTGGCCTTCCCGGAGGCCCTCTTGGAGGCCTCTTGGGCCGTCTTGGGCCAGCTTCGAGCCAACTTCGGCCATCTGGGTGGGTTCCTGGCCCGTCTGACGCCGTCGGGAGCCGTCTTGGGGGCCTTTCTGGGCCGACTTGGGGCCCTCTTGGGGCGCTTCGGGGCCGTCTTAGAGGCCCTCTTGGGCGTCTTGGAGGCCTCTTGGGCGTGTTGGAGGCCTCTTGGGCCGTCTTGGGGCCCTCTTGGGGCCGTCTTGGAGGCCACTTGGGCCGTCATGGGGCCCTTTTGGGGGCCTCTTGGGCGATCTTGGGGGCCTCTTGGGCCGTCTTGGGCCGTCGGAAAACCGAAAAGGCGCAAACACCAAAATCTTTCATAGGAGTGCTTGCACGTGATTGTCTGGGCCGCTCCATGGCTTTTGATCTTTCTCAAGTGCATGAGCGGGGCTGGGCCATGGCCCCGGGCGGCGCCGCCACGCTCGCGGTGAGCGCCGCGGTGGGGGCGCCGGCTGCCTGGGCCGGGCTGCGCTGGGCGACGAGCTGGCTGGCGGCGCTGGTGGCCGCCTCGACCAGCTGCCCGTCCTGCGTGCGCCACGCGCCGCAGTGGCCCCCGCCCGGGCCGCCGGCGCCGCCTCCACCGCCAGCGCCAAGCGCCGGCGCGGTGGCCGCGGCCGTGGCGCAGAAGCTCGGGCCCTGGCTGGCGGCGAACTCCTCGCCGGCGCCGGCCACCTGCCCCTCGGCCGACGAGGTGGCCGCGGCGCTGCTGGAGCGGCTGCCGCCCCTGGGGCCTGAGGAGGCCCGTGCGGCGCCGTCCGCGCCCGAGGCAGGCCCAGCCGTGGGCGAGGGCTGTCCCTTCGCCTTCATCTTGGCGTGGGGGGTCGCCTGCGGGGAGGCGGTGATCTTGGTGTGCTGCTGCGTGGCGGCCCGAGCCCGTCGGAATGATCGCCCCGCTCCCCCGCCGCCGCCGCGGCCCGACGACCTTGGCCGCGGACGGCACGTTCGTCGAGGTGGAGGCGTGGTGCAGTGAGCTCCGGCCAGGGCGCCGAGTCGGGCTCTGGTACCCACGCGACACGGTGTGGCATGAGCGAGTGCTGCTCTACCCCGCGGGGGGCACGTACTGGTGTGTGCTGACGCCGGACGACGACCGGTACGCCGAGGACGTGTCGGGATCCGTCGGCGACGGCTGCTACAGGGCCTTCACCGTCGCGCTGGATGGCACGGCGCCCGCTTTGGCCCACGGCGCGTTCTACCGGTTCGCGCAGCCGCCGATCTGGGAGGAGCTGCGCGCCGCCGTGCTCAGGTCGAGGACTGATCAGCAGGAGCACGTTGGTGACGAGCCGCTGGTTGACCCCGCGGAGGTCTATCTTCGTCTGGGAACCGAGGTGGTGCTGGAGTCTGGCGGTGTCAGGCTGGACGACGACCACGCAATGGTAAGGGAGGCCGGCGTTTGGCAGCTCGTGGAGGCGATCCCCGTCGGCGCGGCGGACACCTTCAGAGACAGGCGCCCGATGGAGCTACTCGGGCTGGCCGAGAGGGACCTGCCCGCCGACGCCCGTGCGGGGGGGCCGCCGCTGCCGCCGCCGGCCTTGCCACCTGGCGGCGAGGCCGACCCCGCGCGCGGAGCTGCCGAGGCCGCCGGTCCCAGCGCTGGCGATCAGGACCTGAGAGACAGGCTGGGGGTGCCCCCCCCGGAGGGGGCGCGCGAGGCGGATTTGGTCGATGACGTGAGGGCGCTGTGGGTTCAGCACGACGAGCAGGGAGACCGCCACAAGCTGTGGCGCGAGGTCGTCCGCGAGATCAAGAAGTACACGTTCAAGGACTGGCCGCTTGAGGACGGCCTCAGCGCGGTGGAGCACATGGCGAAGCGCTGGGAGCAGAACGGCGGCTCCCCTCTGCTCTGGTTGGACCTGTGGGCACGGGGCCGCCAGCTGAGCCAGACGGACCGCAGCTACATCGAGATGAAGTGCCTGCTCACGTTGATCTTCTACGCGGGAAGCTACGACCAGGTCAACCTACCCAGCATGGCCAGCATTGAAGTGTTGTATCGTCGGGTGTCGCAGATCGTCGAGGCCTACTCGGGTGATCCTCACAAGTCCCCGAAGTGGGGCGCGCTGCGGCACTACATGGGCGTGGCAGGCCCGATGGGCGTGATTGACCCAGCCTTGAGGGCCGCAGTCTTCCGCCGCAACAAGGAGGAGATGGATCTGGAGAGCTGGAAGAGCCGGGCTGCCGGGCTCCCTGTGCCCAGCCCCCTGGCGCTGGAGGCCGGCGAGGGGCTGCCGAGCGGGCCCTCCGGCGGCGCCGACGGGCGCGGGCGGGGCCGCGGCGACGGCCGGGGCCGCGGCGCAGACGGGCGCGGCCGCGGCGCTCCTGGAAGCGGCGGCGGGCGTGGGGCGGCTGGGCGCGGTGGGAGGCTCACCGCGCCCGAGGGAGCATGACTGCCCCCGCCGGCGGGTTTGGGCGTCCCGCCGGTAGCGCACAGCCCAGTCGTGAAGTCGGGGTGGACCTGCTGTCGGTGTTCCCCCTGCCGAGGCTGAGCGACCATGAGAGGGATTGGCCGCAGCTCCAGGGCCGTGGGGCTGCTCGGCTCGCCAGGCGAGCCTGCCGGGACTTCGACGAGGTCGTCGACGCCTTGAATTGGTTGATGAACCGCACCTCCACAGGCGACAGGCCGAATTTTGACCAGATGAAGGTGCACGCGCGGATCCTGGAATGCGTGGCTGAGTGTATGCCGCCGATGGAGACCGCGATCCCTTCCCCGCGAGCGGCCTTTTCTGAGCTGCTGCACGGCCGCAGTGTCTACGACGAGTCGGCCGGACGGAACGTCGGACGTCTTCGCAATGTGGGGCAGATATCTTTACCTAAGACCGCGGTGGGAGAGCCGCGGCTGTTGGACATCGCTTCTGCCCATGCACGCCATTTTCTCGAAGGCGGTTTTTCTCGGATGCTTCTAGATGAGGCTAGTTTACGTTGCCGCCTTGA